ATTAATATCTCGGTTATCTCCCCTAACCTAGTTTTCTAACCTAAGTGGCGGCTATAGTAATTCATTGTTTTTCTTGCATCTAAATAATATAATTTTATCTACTTAAGTTTGACTGATATAAAAAAGAACAAATCAAAATTGTCAAAATGCTAACAAACTTTATAAATGATATAAAATTAGATGAAACTTCAAAACTCAAGTCACATTCTGACATTTTTCTAAGCAAAATAGCAAATTTTGGATTGAATAGCCTTTTTTTATTGATTGCAACAATAATTATTCAGGAAAAGAAAAACTGTAAACTGACTACTAAATCTCATTTAATTAAATAAAAATAAAATTAGTTAAAATATATTTCAAGATATTATCAATCAACAATTATTTTTAGAATAAATAATGAAATAATTGACAAGAAAAGATGAAATGGAAGATTTTTTAATGATTTTCTGTTGTTCAATTTCTTTTGGGTTTGATGCCTGTCAACAGCAATAACAACAAAACAAAAAAAAATCTTTGTATTTTACATCGGTTTTTTTTTAGTAAAGAAGCAAAAAAAATTGTCTCTTTGTCTATTCAGGAAAAACACTTAATAGATGAGAAATTTAACAAAATAAAACAGCAAATCCTATTTGGTACATACATTTTATAGGAGATTCATTTTCCCTTTTGACATATTTAAAATTTTTCTGTGATTGTGTGCTTTAGTTTTGTTTAGATTTGGAGGGAGAAACAGTTCCATACATTGTAAAATATACGTATCCCTATTTCAATTATGTTTGAATAAATAAATGGCTTCACAACAGCCATTTTTTTGGTATTTTTGTATTCAAATAAAGATATATTTAGAAATAATAATATGTAATATACTTTTGTTTGGAACATAGGGTCTATATATATCTGTTTAGATTAATATGTAATTTATTTATGCACTAATTAAAATTAAGGACTTCCTTGCTCACCTGAGCTAAATTAATTTGTAGAAAAATGGCTTTGTATATTAGGTGTATGTGGTTGTGTTTGTGGGCATGTATGAATATCATTGAAAATACAAATAATTTTTGCATGTGTCAAAAAACGTAAGTACAGTTTAAGAGAAAACATTCTTCAGAAATATTTTTTAAAATTAAAAAAGGATCATCCAAATAAAGACATTTATATTTAAATGTTGACTTTTTAAAATTAAATTCTTTTTCAAAAAATGCATGCTCTTTGTTGCATTCTGTGCACTTTCTAAAAATTGCAACAACATCTACAACAACAAATCTTTCTGTCTAAAGCCTGGAATTTTATCTGATGTCCCACAAAACAGACAAGATATTTTTTGAGTAAATCTAAAAATTTTAATATTTGTGTATAAAGCAAAATATCCTTAAAAGAATTAACATTTGATATTTTTAAAAAAGCAAATAAAAAGATGTTATTTTTTTTAATGATTTTCATTTTTGTGATGTGCTTTTTAACTGTCAGAATGAACTATATTTTTTGTTTGCTTAGTTTTGTAGATGATCATATAGAGTTCTCTGATGAAAGAACCAGATTACAACTGTATTACTACAGACATGCATAGTGCACTATTTACAAAGATGCTTTTTTGGAGGTTTCTTTGGTTTTTAGAAATTCTTTTAAGAATTCTTTATTTTATTGGGATGTTTCAGGAGCTTCATCTTCAAAATATTTTTTCTTCTTCTTTCATACTCACAAAAGAAATAAGTCGTTGGAAATGCTGATAAATTTTCAGAATGGGAAATTTTTGATGAAAAATATATTTATAAAAAAGAGAGGAACAAATGTTTAGAATTTTTTTAATTACATATTTTTTTTTTACATGACATTTTTTAATTAAAATATTTGTAATTAAAATTCTTTTTGTCTTTCTTGGTCTGGGTTTTAAAAATATCAGTGAATTTTTTAATTGTGTAAAAAAAGCTCATAAAAAACAGAATTTAATTCTGAATGAATAAATAAACCTATAAAAAATGAAATTTACAAAAGGTAAAATGAAATAAAACAAGTGGTTAAAAAAAATAAATGAAAGGAAAATGAATAAAAAGAAAAAATGCAAAACATTGAAAGAAAAATGGAAAATATTTTGCTTTTTTTATTTATCATTTTTAGATGTTGGGCTTTTTTTTATTATACTTATGATTATTATTGATTGTGGTGATTATTATTATTATTATTATTATTATTATTATTATTATTATTATTATTAACAATAGTAGTGATATTAAAAATAGGTATAGTACTTAATATACATGCATTTGCTATTATTATGAATTTTTAATTCATAATCCCAGAATTATTTTTACGATTGTTACTATGATGGTTTCCATTTTCTCAAATTTTATCATCATTATTATTATGAATTATTCAGATAAACATTTATAAAACCTTTCTAGGTTTGATGCTAATTCACAGAATTTATCAAATTATAGCACTTCATCTAGGAGTTTCAAACAACACTAGTAAGGCAATGGAAGTCAGTTTTTAGTCAAATTTAACTGATTAGCAATTAGTCAACCTGACTATATTCACTGCATATTTTAACTTAAAGATACCTTTAGTGATCATAAGAAAACTGATGAAGCAATATCGCTTCAACTCTGTTTGCCCCAATTTCAGAGGCTTGCCAATTCAACTAAATAATCACGAATAAAGCTTCATCACTAAATTATAGTTACGAGTCACAAAAGCATTGTAGAAGTTCAAAATGTGACAAAGTAGCACAAAATTCTGGCAATATCAATCAAGTATTTGGCCAGTTGACCATCACTGAATATACAGCTCAACATTTGGTTCTAAAAATTACTTGACAGAGATGAGAAGATAAGAATAAATGTGTATGTCCTTCTGAAATTGATGACAACTAATTCAATGACATTACTGAAGCTGAACTACAAAAACAATTTGAGAAGTTGCAGAATAACTAAATGTTGATCTTTCACTACTTGTTCAACATTTACACCAAATTGGAAACTCAAAAACCTTCACAAATGGCTGCTGCATGAGCTGAGCAAAAAGAATAAAACATTTTAAAAATTCATCCAGCAAAGTCTGCTATGTGCTTCTTTCATGCAACAAAAACAATTCATTTCTTGATTGCATTATGACACAAGACAAAAATAAATTCTGTACAATAACAGATAGTGCTCTTCACAGTGATTGGACAGTGGCTAAGCACCAAAACACTTCCTTCAAACCAAAGCTGTATCAAAAGGCTATGGTCTCCATTTGATCCTAAGCAACTTCTTAAATTTTTGGTAAAACTATCATAGTAGAGTAGTATTGCCAGGAAATTGACAAAATTCAACAACAACTGTAATATTTACATCCAAAATAAAAATCAACCACTAAAATACTATGCTGTAACTTCTATCATAATTTAGAAATTAGTTTTTAACTTCCTCTACCTTTCAAGACATTAAAGGGACTAGAAAGACATAAGTATGTGATAGAAAACAAATAAATCAACAAAATTTATTGGTGAGAGAAAACAATAAAAAAAAGAAATGTACAAATATTACTAACAGGAATTTTTTGATACCAACCAAAAATTTGAAATACTTTTTGGTGAAAAAAAATTTGTATTTTTTTGTTAGAATTTTCCTTAACCCTCCATTAGAACTGTAGAGCATTGCTATAAGTTTATTACCATCGGGTTTTTAAGTACCTCATTTAAAATATTATAGATATATCATATAGTTCTTAATTTTCTTGTTATATATTGTCATGAGCGTTCTATCTGGTTTTTATATGATAAACGAAAAAATAACAACAAAAGTTTTATTTTGAAAAATCAAATTAAAAGGACAATATTAAAAAATAAATTTGTAAGTTTAAAATTTAAAATATGCAAAAATAAGTTCCATTTTATTTTTAGTGTACAAACAAAACTGCTTTTAATTCATGCAAAAATTTTAACTAAACTAGAAACTCCTTGAAATTACAGATTTATTTAAAAAGTTACCTAACTCATAAAAATTTGACTTATCACTTGCTAAATATTAAAGAAAAACATTTTGTGCAGTGTCTAAATACCCTATGGTACAAATGGAGGGTTAAGTAAAATCAGTATCAAAGAATGGGGAAATAAAGTAGCATTATAAATAGTTTTCTTATAACATACTTACAAATGTTTGAACCTTAAAACAACCCATGCAGGGGCCTACCCATTTGATCAGTTGTGTGTGTGTGTGTGTGTGTGTGTGTGTGTGTGTGTGTGTGTGTGTGTGTGTGTGAATGAGCAGTAGAAAAATTAATCTCATTGTAAGTGAACTTTACTGAACATTCAGTCAATTTAGCTTAGTCTAATAAATATTTACACATTGGGTCTGTGCCATAGACTAAACTTAGTAAATATTTATGTACATGTGTTCAGAATCATTTATAAAAGAAAAAGGAATTTATACTTATTTTAAAGAATTATTTTAAAACATTATTATATTGATATCTTTGAAGATTCTGCAAATACTGTCTATTATAAATAAAGGCTTTATACAGTAACTTAAATTTATTTCTTTTTTTCTTGGCTTGAATGTGTGGTAATAAGAGTCACTATCTTGTTATCAGTGATAAAATCATGGACTTTCCAGTTTATAATACTTTGCTATCACCACTGAGCTACACATGTAAATTCAACAAATATGTAAAGAGTTCTTATTAAATAGAATCTCAAAAATTAAGTGTCCATTTTTTCAATAATAATAATAATAATAATACACTGTTTCTTTTGAAGGATTATGAAAATAAAAAGGTTTCAGCTGTTTTGTGCAGAAGCGGTATTAAGAAATGATTAGGGAGGTGATTCTGGGTATTGCGATATGGTGTCGAGGGCATATATGATGAAGAAAGGAAACAGAGTAAGAGTGGAGTGAAATAAGGTCTTAGTGTGAAGAAGATGCAGTTGGAGAATGTGATCCTCTCTTCATCTTCTCTCCACACCAGTAATAATTATAATAGTAATTATAATAAGAACAAACCTAAAGCAATTATCAGTTGTATTAAGCCCACACCTGTAATGAGAAAAAAAAATGTAAGTGTAAGAAATTAGTTTTCAAAAATTGGAAGAAAGAAATAATAAATAAACCAAAATTATTCAAGTGGGAAAAGAATTAACCCTATTTAGTAACATTTAAAACATGTTTTAGAAAAGTGCCCTTTTAGTTAAAAGTTCATTGCAACTCAGCCAAATGCCAATTGCACACTTCAAGAGTTCAGTGATTGGTCTCATATTCATATTACCAGTGCAATGGACACAATGTAATAATTAACATTAATTTAAAGAAATATCTTATATTTAAAATAACAAAGGATTAATCCATTAATCCCTGTTTATTTTAAATATAATTCCCATTTATTTTAAATACAAAAGTTTTTTTTTTAAACTATCCCTGTATAATATATGGATTGTGCCAACTAGATAATTTTATTAAAATTTAAATTATGTAATGGTCAGTTTCTACTCAGCACCGGAAGATTACATTGTGCATTAAACTTCAAGTCATGCTACCGGTGAGGACAAAAAAATGTATATTTATTTATATATAATTAATAGCTCTGTATATTACATAATAATGCTTTTTACTGAGGGAACAGATATTATACTGTTCTTTGACAAAAATGTCAACCAGTAAGTGATGTTTTAATACAAGATAGTGTGCACAGATACTCTCAGCCTAAACAGAAGTACCAATCAATAAATAAATAATCCTGTCATTTTTGACAGACACTATGCAAGTGATTATAAAGCTTCTCATGGGCTTAAGTGTTACTTTAAAGAAGAAAAGTGAAAGGAAAATCCAGTGAAGGATATTGTTTTACTCACTTTTAATGTGTTATCCCAGCTCCCAGTACAGAGTGCAGTGCCATCTGGTGATACTCCTAGGCAACTCACTCGGTTTTCATGTCCGTACAACACACAAATACGATTACCTTTGAGTACATCCCATATATTCACTGTGTAGTCATTATAGCCTCCAAACAGTAAACGCCCTGAAAACAATAATATGCAGTGTTAGATGATAAAAAATTATTTTTTAATATAAACTGCAATCAGTGTATATAAGCATGCTGAAAATTATAAAATACCTTTGCAAAACAATTTATGAACATCAAAAAAGAAAAAATCCTACTATTTTCTGACATCATGTAAATTTTTGGTTGTATTTGTATTTAAAATTAGATATATTTATGAGAGAAGAGTGCTCAATATTGGAGAAAGAGCTTTTATAGATTTAAATGTTGTGGACATAGAAATCAACACTGCATGTCAGTTTCATGTCTCTGAAAATCTTCAGACTATATTTCACCACTCCTTTAGAATTTACAGTGTTTTCTCACCAAAATTTTTTTCAATTTTAGACCTTATTCCAAATTTCTTTTTTTTTGTTTGTTTTAGTTTTTCATAACATTTTAAACACATATCCTTAAAAAGGAAAGAAACCCAAAACAATGCCTAACTGATCATTTTTGTATTTTCTGGCCATTAAGTAAGCAGCATGAATCAGAAAGACATATGGAAAACAAAAGTTAAAAATTAGGTCAATGTGCAATTTACAAAGTTCTGAAAATTTAAATATATCAATCTTAGTAAAAGATTTGCCTAAAAGTTTACAGTTTCAGTGAAATCATTTAATAAGTCCACATATTTTGAGACAAACACATTTAACTCTTTAAAATTTTACTATGCCTTTTATAGTTTTATTCTTTATAAAATTTTTCTCATGGGGAAACTTAGTTTTATTAAAAAATGAAGGCATTTCAATACAAATGGTTAAACATATCTAAGAGGCTTTTTCAACTTATAGAATGGAACAAAAAATGGGTAAAATTGCAGATTAGGGCATAGAAACCAATTTAAAAAAGAAACATCATTTCTGGTGTAAAAAAGCAGGAATATTTCAAAAACAGCATTAAAAATTTGCAGAAACCTACCGGTCAGGAGATATCAACAATCTTAGTGGGGTCTTATTTGTGTCTTGGCTACAGCCTGGCCAACATTTGGTCTTTCCTCTTAATAACAACATTTTGACTTTAAAACCTCATTTTTATTAAATTTGGGACCTTTTTCAGCATAAGAGTGGAAGTACAAAAAAAAAAAACATGATTATTACAAAAATAGCAATAAAAATTTCGGAAAGTCCACCTTTTAGGAGGGTGTCGACAATCATATGGATCCTGAGTTCAGTTTGGCCACCTCAGTCAGGAATCTTTGAAGGTGCTTTGATTTTTTTTATTATCCAGTAAATGGATAAACTTTCATGCAGTAATTGACGAGGCCAGCATGCAGTAATCTAGTCTCGTAAGTGGCCATGCTGTACCCAGGACCCTAGTAAAATTGCGGTAGATTTCCGCAAATTTTGAATGCTATTTTTGGAATAATCATGCAGATGACCAAATTAAATTGGTCATCAACAAATTTTTTCGAGGAGTAATATTTTGAGGCTAGTAATATTGGCCAGATTGTAGCTGAGACACAAAAGATCCAACTAAGATTATTGATATCTCCTAAATAGTAGGTTTCTGCAAATTTTTAATGCTGTTTTTGGAATATTCAGTTTTTTTACACTAGAAAGGATGCTTCTTTTTTAATTTGGTTTCTGGGTCCTAATCTGCAAATTTACCAAAAAATGCATCTATTTAGAAACATACACATGGTCTTATATGGGCACTACTTAAATAGACTCATAAAAAAACAGGGAAAACTTTGGAGGGAAATAATTTATGCTGATTAGCATTCTTTACCATCTTCAGGATGTGACACTTGTTATTGACCTTAGCTTTTTTATGTACAAAAACATACTTTTTGTTTTGAGGTGGGGATTACAAAAAGATTTCTGTTAAAATGAACAAACAGATTAAGAACAAAAATTTGCATAGTTAAACTTATGCATCTGTTTATTGCTAACTTAAGATGAATAATGAACTTCAAATATTTGTGCATGTGCTTTTGGAAAAAATCCTATACAAAAAAAAATGTTTTAAGAAAACGTTAAAATAAATAAAAAAGGTTAGAAAACTTAAAAAAATATTCAGATATCAATGACATTTTTGCATGTTTTCAAACTTGACATTTGTAAATAACAGCTAAGTGACAGCTTAACTTTTAACACTAATAATTATTTAAAACTAAAAGTCAGGGAATAATTTGATATTCTATCAATATTATAAACAGACACCCCTTCTAAATCGCTGACAATACAATTTTTAATTCTGACAAGCGTAAGTAACCTAAGGAAGGTTTAATGCTAATCTACCAATTAACAAATATTATTCTCCCCTACCTCACAAAAAATTTTTCCCTATTTTTTTATGAGTGAACCAGTTATTTAAGAAGTGTTATTATAGAGAATTATATATATATATATATATATATATATATATATATATATATATAAAGGTAAATATCAGTTTAACTTCCTGTGAAACAATCAGGAATTATTTTTGATTACATCAAAGATGATGCGATATGTGTACATTAGATTCTGAATTTGGCTCCAAGTTGCATTCCAAGGAGAGGGGAGAAAATTGAGATTTATAACCTAAATAAAACCTGTGCAAATTACCCAGTGATTTCTGACTAATATATTACTGTTTGAAGAATAGAAAAAAGCAACATACTTACCACTTAAAGAAAAGTCAACGGAGTTACAACCAAATATTATGCTTTCTTTCTTGTAACAACTGACTTCTCTGTCAGCTCGTAAGTCAAAAAGACGACACTGTTAAAATACACAAAAAAGGATTCTTAATTTGAAGGTGTCATGAAAATAACTTTTAACAAACAAAAACTGATAACTTATCTTCTTTATTTCATTAAAACTTGTATTTTTTATACATTGATTTCGAATTATTTAATTTTTCCTTGTCTCTAGTTTTTTTCTCTCCACTCAGTAGATGTGAATTTGTATACAGTTAAACAGGGGAGGTAAATTTTGTGACATCATTGTAAAGATATCGGCAGCTATGGCTTTATCTTGTAGACAAGAATTTTTCTTTTCTTTTGATAGCTTCCTTTAGGATGATGGTATTAATGACTAAGTAGACCAATTCTTGTATGGAAGAGTCAATGCAATTGACTGCATGGTAATGTTGGTGGAGGACAAGATTGATTTTATCATTTGACTTCTTCCTTTTCTCTTTTGGTGGTTTTGAAGATTTTGGTTCCGATGGTAATGGGACATTATCAATTGTTATAGTCTTGTGCTTGTATTTCAAATGATTTAAGCTTTTGGTGTTGTTTTGTGTTGGTCCTTGTATCTTCAAAGAGGGCAACCCTGTGGTCTTTTCCCTGAAGTGAGCACATTGAACAAGATTTTGGAGTTATGCGCAAACTTTGTAAAGAGCATGAGTTTTTATTTACAAAATAAAAAAATCCTAGGAAGGAGCATTTCTTTTTATTTTATTTTTGTTTGTAAATAATCACGCTCTTTTCAAAATTCGTAAAGACTTTGCGTTAATTATTATTTGTTTTATTTTTAATTTAAAAGAAAAGCTTTAGTTTATTATTTAATTTGTTTTTGTTTTAATTTAAAAAGAAATATTTACTATAAAAAAACAACAGTTGAAAAAAAACAACACTTTCCAACACAACTTAAGTGCGCAGTAATTTAGACAAGTAAGATCAGTTAAGAGTGCAGTAAAAAGAGGGTTAATTAAGCTTCCTTGCGCAAAATGTTCCGCAGTGAATGTAGTTAAACAAGGCCAGTAATGGCTGACAGCTGAATGCGAAAATTTTAGAAGATATTTAGCGTGGGGCTTAAAAAGCAAATTTACCTAAATACGAATAGATTTAATTTATTTTTTAAGTGTTATTTTTTTCACAATAACAATATTTTAATAGTTTAAAAATATCAAGATGTCAGTAATCTTTTCTTTAATTTTTGTCCCTGCAAAATGAACGGTGCATCAAAAGGACAGTTTTCCCTCAACACCAAAACTACCTTCACTCCTTGGTAATGTTTATTGATTTTAAAAACAATAAAGCCTAAACATACGATAAAAGTGAATTTATACATTTTTGTTGTTCTTGAGAATTGACAACGAAAATATTAAACAGTAAACATTATTTATTAATTAGATTGTTTATTTACAAGTCTAATTTTATATTTACAACATTCTAAAAGAAAACTAATATATAATTCCATTGTATTAAAACTAATGCAATGCAATATTTATCATTTAACAATTAAGAAATAAATATGAAAACAATTTTTATTCATAACTTTATAAACATTTACTAAATTATTAAAATACTTGAACTAATTACAAGGAAATCCTTATATTTTATAAAGTTTAAATCGATTGGCAATTAGCCAATGTTTTGTTAACCATTTCATAAACAATAAATAAATAAACAATCTAGTAAATAGTGTTTATTATTTTTGTTGTTAATTCTCAAGAACAAAGAAAATGTATAAAATGACTTTCATACATTTTTAAGTTTTATTACAATTCTAATCATCACTTTTTAAAACATTGCTGAAGCCAGTTAAAATAATAGCAATGTTAAATGGAAAAACCATCATTTTTTTGACACACCATTTTTTTTCGGGCACAAAAAAGTTAAAAGATTGCCAATATGTCTTTATAAAATATTTAATAGATAATCCGAGCTTAGTCTGGTACAAAGCCATGATAGTTCCTAAGGAGGATTGAACTCACTAAGTCATTAAGACTTTAAAAATAAGATTTTAGTCTGAAATAAATTATGTTGAATTAAGTTCATAGCCTGACACATTTATCATATGAATTTTGATCTGAAATTTTCACTGTATAATGTACAATCAATGTGATTAACAGAAAAACACAGGAAAGGAAGGAGATTATGTTGAAAGAAAAATTTGTGCAAAATAAATATCTTTTTTCATCAGACTTATTGGTGTAGCTATATAAAGTAATTACTAGTTTGTTCTTGTTAAAAAATCAAAATCCCAAACATTACTAAAAACTTTCCCCAAAATAAGTGAAAAACAAGATATTTATTCTGTAAAACATGGCACAAAATAAAATAAAAAGAAATTAAGAGGTTGTCAGCCAATTTGCAGATATCAAAGAATGCCCTAATCTATTTTTGTGCAGTAGGGTGGTGCTATTCAGACAATAGTCAATATTCTTCCAACTGTCAATGTTTTTTTTTTTCTTTACTGTAAAGCACCACATTGAAAATAAAGTAAAGACAGAATTTTATTAAAATATCTTTTGTGCATTTTCCGGTCCATTGTTTATAATACATGTTTTTTAGTTTTTTTAATTGTGACTTGTTTTATATAAAGGTTGAAATGAATTCATTTTGTCTAGTATTTTTGTCCATTTTAATTTTTAGATACTTTTCATTGGAACTTACTCAGGCTGTCAGTCTAAAGTAGTGAGCAGACATTGAAGGTCAGAAATAGTAAAAAGGTTAATTTCTGGTGCTCTGACTGATGACTGGAATAAGTTGTAATAAAAAAGCTATTAAAAATTAAGGTGTAAGAAAATATAATGCTTCATCTAAAAGTAAAGATAATGTTGTCATGAACTGTTCTTGACATGAGCTAGACTCAACGTGTTTCCCATTAATATAGTTGTATCCAGTTGAGGATTTTTAAAAAAATTTTAATGCTATGTCCATTCAGGATGTAGGCTATCATAACTTTCCAACAATTCCTTTTCTTTATTATCTGTTAATTCTTATACCTTCTTGAGAAAGATAGTGCAGTGGTTGAAGTATAACACTATTTTTTCACCATATGTTATTCCCAATGATTTGATTAACTAACTTGAACATTAATGATGTTACTCAACTATTGACCATTTATACACATTGGCACTCAGCCAAACAGAAATGTGACAGTAGTCTTATTTGACCAATGACTTAACAAATTAATACAAAACTTTTGTATATAATTTAACTGTTCAATTTTTTAAAGTTAAAAATTTAAATAAGAAACATTAAGAAATAATATCTTACTGTAGCATCATCTGAACCTGTAGCAAATGCATCTCCGCTTGGGTAAAATCTCACACTGTTGATATCATTTTCATGACCCTCAAATACCTGGGTACATTCGCCAGTTCTCATGTCCCAAATAATTGCAACATTATCACAACCCTGAAGGAAAACAGAAAAAATATTTTTTATACTGAATAAAGAATTTAAGAATGTTTAATGAAAGCAATCATAAACAGACAGAAAAACTTCACAACACTTAATACATTTGAATTGTTTCAATAGATATCTCCTTGATTGATTAGAACTATTATTGTGCAAAATAAAAAATTTGCACAGTAATATAATTATGTGGCAGGATTATTAAACAGGCAAGATCCTATTCTCCTTGCTTTCAATGTTTTTTTTGTTTTTTTCCAGTGGCACAATGTAAAGTTTAAACCTATGGCCTTTTCAGATAGAGGAATTTCTAGAAAGGCAATAGAGTTTACTATCAATCTAATTTAAGAGCTTAACTTCTGGTGTGAAGTCAGTCTTCTGTCTCCAAGACTGGTTTCCAAAAACAATAAAAAGAAAGAGGACAGGATGCTATGAAAGGATTACTAAATTTAATATATGCACATGAAATACATTTTGGTCATCATGATGAAAACAATAGAGTAAAAGATATCCATCTGAATAATTCTTGAAATAAGAAGCCAAAAAAAAATGTCTTAAAGAAAAAGGGATGAAGCATCTGAAAAATATCTAGCTATATTAATGCAAAACAAGTCAAGCTAAAGCAGTGACACCTTAGTCCTTTTCAAAATACACTTCTTGAGACTTCACACATATATCAAAACATCACTTTCACATTTTTGTTCTTTCCTTATTGCCCAATTTGAAATTTCTTCCTTTTCAACAACAAAAGCCACAAGTTACCAAGAGCCAAATCTGGACTGTAACGGATTTGGATAATGTGATGTTCTACATGAAATGTAAAGAATCTACTTGGGAGGTTATTGCCAATGTTGTGAACAAGAATGATGTGGTAACAGCAAAAACAATTAGGTCAATAGTTCAAATAAATATTGGGTGGAGAATGTATCTGCACAAAGTATTTTTAATTAACTTTTATTATTAGTAATAGTAAACATTAATTAATCAATACTTTGATATATGAACAAAAAACTAAAGTTTTAAAAATTGTAATGAAAATTATTTAAGAAACAGGAATGGTAAAGAATAAAAAAATAAATTTTTGAAAAAGAATAGCTAGCAAAGTTGAATGAAAATGTCAAAAATTAAAATAAAAAAGTATAAAATGGCTAAAAATATTTAAAAAAAAAAGGAATAATAACAAAAAAAAATCAACAAATGAAAGAGGAGGTATAATTCTTACGCCAGACACAAATTGGTTGCCAGTTTCAGATGGGGATAAGTCAATACTCATGACATCCCCAGCATGTCCATGGAAGCTTTGAATTAGCTGACCACTTTCCACATCCCACAATGCACAAGTACTGTCACCACTCCCTGTTAATATCTGTAATTAAAAATAAAGAAAAATTCAATATTAATTAATGTTACATTAGTATATTTTTTTTATTTTTAGAGTAGTTTTTAATATCAGAAATTATCAGATTTGAACTTTTATTGATTTACTTTTAATATCAGAGACGCAATTTGAAACCTTAAGACCACCAGTCCTATACTCTATTCTTGTATGGCAACTGGCAGCTTGACACTTTAATCAATGTTCTGTTGAATGGCCTGATGATTGTTCAAGGAATGCAATACTGAGATTTCTTTGTTGACATTATTATAAATTACATACACTCTATTGCCAATATTTGATAACCCTGCCTCAATAAATTTAGTAATATATATATGTGTATGTGTGTGTGTATATATATATATGTGTGTGTGTTATATATATATATATATATATATATATATATATATATATATGTGTGTGTGTGTGTGTGTGTGTGTGTGTGTGTGTGTGTGTGTGTATATATATATATATAGAAAGTAGAGTATAATATATATTCTAAAATAAAAAATCCACATTTTAACCAAAAACGTTTGAAACTTCTTTTTAAAATATGCAGTTTTCTCTCGTTGGAACAACTATAACCTCTTTCCTATATATATATTTGTGTGTGTGTGTATGTATATATATATATATATATATATATATATATATATATATATATATATATATATATATATATATATATATATATATATGCATATATATATATATATTATTATTATAATTTTACTCATATAAATAAAAACAGTTTACTCACTACAAAAATGGAACTTTCATCTAACAGTGGTTTCTGCATTTGAAATTGCATAGCAGTATGGTTGAGGATGGTTAACTAACAATTCTGCTATCAACAAGCCATATTATTTCATGGTTCCTTTTTGCCTTTTTTCATTATGTATTTTTTTTTTTCTCAAACAAATGACCAAAAGGAAGTGACGTTTCACATATGGCTTGTTTACAAGTAGAATTGTTCATAACCATTTTTGTTTCTCACCTGTCGAGGTGCAATTGAAATGCACCGAGATAAAGTTGCCTTTTTTTTTAGTGAGTAAACTGTTTTTGTTTATATGATAAAATTATAATAAATAATTATTCCCCTACTATCAGTATCGAGCCCTGTTTTGAATTAATGCTGTGAATGTTAGAATTTATATATTACTTTCATTCTCATTGCATCAGATATATGTATATATATATATGTGTGTAAATATATATATATATATATATATATATATATATATATATATATATATGTCAAGAAGAAACTTAAAAATCTATCCCAGTTATAATTTATTTCATGAATATTTTAATATTCATCTCTTCAGACCAAAAGTTTTTTAGAAATGGATCAATCCACCCAGACAGATGTATCAGTATAAAAAGAAGGAAGAGGGGAAAAAAAAAGACAAAGAAAAAAGGGGAAAGGAAAAAGGAAGAAAGAAAAAGGAAAAAATTTTAATAATAAAATGGAAGAAAGAAAAAGAAAAATTTAAAATATAAATTTTTTTAAAAAATACAGAATTGGAGAGAGAAAGAGTGAAAGAAAAGAAAAGGAAATAATGAAGAAATAAACAATGGGTTAATAGCAGAAATAAAATAGAATGACCTAGAAAAAAATTTACCTTAAAGGGCTGAACAAGTTAATATACCAGTTAAAGGAGAGGATGATCAGAATTAAGAGTTACAGCAAATTGTCTGATAGAGTCATGTCATTTTAGATAGCAGTCATCATCACATAATAATCATTACAATTTCAAACTAATAATAATAATATCCAACATAAATAAAATTTAAAAAAATTATAATATTAAATTAATAAAATTAATAAATAGATAATTATACTTCCTACTCAGCAAACCTAGCATAACACAGTCTTCCTCTTTTGCATTTAACCTCATTTAGCCTGATAGCAAACTAAGCTTAGTAAATACCAACATTAAACCTTATTTGTCTGTATTATAATTTGCTTTATGGCTGAGAGATTTGTACCTTTCCTCGCAGTGGTCAGTGTAAAAGTCCAAGTAAAATGCCAGTAGTCTGAATGCTGATTTTCAAAGCAGGCACATCCTTCCCACTTGGGAAATTGGCCCAGCACAATCTTGATCCCTATACTATTCCCTTGCATTTAATCTTGTGTCAAATTAACTTGAGAAAATCTCAACTCAATGGTATCTTTTTCATTCATAAGATATCTGCAAGATCCAGCATAGTATTCATTTTTATGCATTAAAATAATTTGTTAAGCAGGGTTTTAGCAAAAAGCACAGATCATACATATAAAGCTACATTTATAGAATCTGAAGCACATACAGATGTAGATAGAATTGTTTTACCTGTTGGTCTGAACTTGTGAATGTACAGCATGATAGATAGCTAGTATGAGTAGCAACGGCTTTCTTTTTGCTGGCTGGATCTTCGTCCAGACTCAGGGGATAAATTGTACACTTATTGTCTAAGCCCCTGTAAATAAAAACCAAAATTATCAATGTATAAAACAACTCTTTCTTTCTATGTATACATACATACAGATATTAAAGGCTATGAGACAAAGTGGAACATTTTGCTGGAGAAGAATATGCTCTCTGGCTTTCTCTGTTTAGAATGAAAGAAAGACAAAATGTGAATAAGTGGGGTTTGTATATGTTTGTATATTTGAAACATAGAATATTTAGGCAGCAGTCCTTTATTTAAACATGTTTTATTAAATGTAATAGATAAGAGATGTTTGTTAAATTTCTCCTAATGACAAATAAGTCATCTGATGTCATATGGAAATTTGTAATGAAATTTGCTGAAGTTATGATATGTTCCAAGTACTTTCAACCATTGTTGATTATTTCTAAGAAAAAAAGAAGTTGAGAAATAGCCAGTGTAGTATCTATGTTTGTAAAAATTTGCAGTTTGAAATGAAAATGGGATCACCAGTTATGATAAGGAAATTGGATTTAACATCATGTGCTTAAAATGTGTATGCCTAAATGAAAATTTTATTAATGTTGTGTTTCAGTCATTTGATATGTAAGACTTCTAGAATATTTTTAATACACAGGGTATGATGGGTAAAGTGTTGCCATTTTATATTTTTAATTTCATGCATACATGTTGTTTGTTTTTGATTTTGTCAACTGCACAGTATAGTTGGATCAATTGGGCACCATCTGTAAGAAAAAGAGTGCCAAGACACAATTCACTCTGCAGGAATTTGGAAATGACCTCCTGTACTGCTTGGCATTTGTGTCAGAAGTTTCAATATGAACATTTCAGTGTGTTTAGGTATCAATCTGAGGACATTGCAGAGGATTCAGAAAGAGTTGAAGGAGTCTAATGGTGATTACAAAGGTGTTTGGAGTGAGCACTAGTGATGACAACACTATACCTCCATTCACAGGGCTTCAGATTCAACGCCGAGGCCTACATCAAGTGCCTTGAGAAGGTAGTTCTGCTTTGAGTCCAGAAGGTGGCTGCTGGAAAACCCTATGCCTGGCAACAGGACTCTGCACCATGCCATACAAGCAGGAGAACCCAGTCATGGGTGGCAGACAATTTCTGTGACCACATCACCCCTTACATTTAGCCACCTAACTCCCCAGACTGCACGCCTCCTTGATTATTATGTGTAGGGTGCAGTTAAATGAGAGACCAACAAAAAAGTCCTTGTAACATCAAAGATGAACTGAAGGCAAGGATTATGGCAGCATTCACCAACTTAAAAAATGGGACTGTCCAGACTTAAAAATTCTGGGACTGTCCAGGACTGGTTGAAGCCAATGGCAATTTTATTGAATAAATTTACTTTTAGTATTGTTATTTTGTGTCATTTTGGTAAATATATCTGTTAAAATGAGATGTCAGTATTCATTTTCATTTTTTGTTGCCTGGAGGAAAATTAATAAACTTTTTTGATGGTGGTTTTTGTTGAGAATGAGGTTTTGATAAAGCCCCAGAAGCCAATTTTTTGTTTGGCAATTTTTTTGATTGAATAAATTCAGTTGTGGAGCAAGCTGAGTGAGTATTGAGACAAAATATTTTGTGTCATTTTGGAGCAAATATATCTGTTAAAATGAGATGTCAGTATTGCTTTTCATTTTTGTGGCTAGACGACAATTTATTCATCGCAACCTGTATGTTGATTTTTATATCATACAGATACTAGCATGATTTCTCAAAAACAAGAAAAACCTTAATAAAACAAATTTTTTTTGTAAAGCAGTTTTTGTTGAGAATACAAAGTTGAGAGTTTTGAATTTTTTAGACATCAAGGTTGAGAGTTTTGAATTTATCTAGTATAAAATGAATCTTAGGCAATTTTTACAGGAGTTATCTATCTGTGGATCTTGTTTTTATTCCTATTTTTGTCGTTCATGTACACCCTTGTGTAAATTAATTGAAACAAAACTAATAATTCTGTTATTATTTATTTTTCTTTCATATTTTTCCAATGAAACATGACCCAGTGAACATGTTAGTACTTTGTATGTCCATTCCACAAAATCTTTCCTTGCAGATTGACCACAGATTCTTGATTGGATTTAAATCAGGAGAGTTTCCAGGCCAATCTATAGTACTTTGATTTGGTCACTGGTAAGGTTTGCCAGTGTGTTCATGCAGCATTACAATGTTAGTATGCTTCCTTGGAGTAACGTCCATCGTTAGACAACTAAGCAACAGTTGAGACAATTGTGTCTGGGCATGATAAAAATCTGATGCAATCACAGATGACACAATATTTTTTGAGGCCATACAAATTTCATCATACATACAAAAATAGATTCATATTACTGAACCCTGCCACAAATGACTTAATCTGAGGAAAAAATAGAAGTAGATTACACTCTATCACTCCAGTGAATCTAAAACTGACCGTATGGTGAAAGAAAGGAAACTAAAGTGGTTGTTTCAATTAATTTGCACAAGGGTGTATGTTGTAAAAAATTCATGGTTGTTGTTAAATATAATTTTTGTCATCAAAACTTCGTAAACTGTTTTTGTTTTTTTTTAAATATTATTTTTGCAGCTCTCAGGATTTGGAAATATAAGTAACTTATTTTTAATTTAGTAGCTTGTAGCAGATTTTAAACCTTTTCACAAGATACACATGTGTCGATATCCCTATCAGTAGCAGTAACCCCTTTTCAGCTTTGGGTATGTGTAAAAAGAAAAAAAGTGGGAGCATGCATGCTGTAAATTCCAAGAGGCTAGCTTTCTTTTACTTCAATCCAAGATTGGGATAGGATGCTAAAATTAGTGCTTTGTGCAGTAACCATACATGGCTTAGACTATACACATCCTTAACTCTCTAATTCACCAACAAAGTAAGTTCAATATTTCCTTCATTCTTTACAGAGACTCTAAAGAACATTCTTGGAATTCAAACTTTCTTTCAGAAACATTCCTTGAAGTTTTCTCTATGTGAAAATGTTCTTAATAGAATAAATATTTTTATCTCACCTTGTTTTATTTATTCTTTTGTTTGTTTATTTTCTCAACCAATTTAACACTTTTAGTCTTTGCTCATCAATACTGAAACTTTCTTAGTTTTAAATGATAACTCCTAACTTAATAACAAGTTCCTTAATCATTTTATGTGTTTTATTTGGTTGACATGGGCTAATTTCCTCATCTTTGTAGTTTTGTTCTTTACAACATTTCAACTGTATATTCTTCAGCCATTCTCACTTATCTAATTGTATCCTGGAATGTTAGTGAATCTTGTCCTGAGAGTATCACCTATCATATATACCATATTTGGCACTTACATTATTGTATTCTTGGCAGTGTATCCTTCAGATCTCTGTGCTGAACTTATGTCTTCCAGTTGAACTTTGCATATATCCATCTCTCTGGACATACCTACAGAATCATCACTTGTTCTTTCTTGATAAATACTTCTTACATGATATTAATGTTTATACTTGTTTTGCTGATTGAGTTATCTGAATATAGTATGTGAACAGATTCTTTCAATCTTCACCAATGCTAATCTTTGTCTATTATTTTTACTTAATACCATAAAGTTTGGTGTGATTACCTCTCCCTCCATGCATAATTGTGTTTTCCTGAATTATATATTTTCAGTGTTCCTCAAGTTATATTTTTTAAGTGGCTGGTCTTGCCCATGTAATATCTGCTACAACTGCATAGAATATTGTACACACATTCTGATGCCTCACTATATCCAATTCTCTTTCTTCAATATTTTGATTTGTATTTTCTGAAAATTCAAACCAAACAGGCAAATACTTACCCACAAGCAACCACAGTTCCTGAGGGTCCATAGGCACAGGCCATTACCCATGTTGTTGGCATGGTAACTGCATGTTCCTAAAAAAAGAAAAATACATAAATTAAAACATTTGAAATAGAAAGTCTATATGTTAAATTCTACTTTTTAAAAAAAAATCCAAAACTAAGCTTTCTCTTCACTAATTAACATATTTAATATAAAATCTGTGGCGGAGGAAGCTTATAAGCTTCCTACGCCACAGATTTTATATTATGGAAGTTGACTTGGAGAAAGATGGGTTCTGCTAGGTTTACTTTGCCCAGAAGGCAATACAACATCCCTATTACCTGGTCATGAGACTGATAATGATGATGGAGTTAGGTTAAGTACAAGTAATGGTGCACCAAGTATTTGAAAACACATCTTTAGTATATTAGAAATAAAAAGATGGCCCAGTGTAAAGTTACTTGACATGAACCAAATTTGAACATTCTCATTTCTCTTTCAGACATTTCAAGAGCATTAACATAGCAGCTTTCACTCTCACAGAGGAAACACACCTACATGCTTGTGGCACTCATTGCTAATCACAGTGACTCCAAAGTAGATAGTTTCTTAAAAATGGCCAGTTGAACTGGAGAAATGACCAGGTGACTCTGCTTAGATGCCACATCTACCCAAAGTTCATGTCCTTATTATCCTTGGTTTTGTGAGCACTATGTCATACCACTCTACTTCTTCCTGCAGGGTATCAAGGTCAATGCCACCATCAACATCAAGGTGCTGAGCATGGTGGTCAAATCCTGGATTAAAAGTGTGTGTATAATCTCAGCTTGACAGCTTTATATTGAGATTAAAGTAAAGCTTTATATTGTGAATGTTTTGAAAATGTTGCCATATGCATGTGAAATCTGGGTGATATACAAAAACAATTAAGGCAACTGAAGCATTTTCACCATTAGTTTGATTTGATTGACTTATTTGTTTAACAGTATATCAACTCCTTATGGGACACTTAATGCCAAAATTGAATTTTTGGGGAAGCTTTGAAATAATAAAAATATATTATTTTGCTTTCACAATTGAGTATATGGTAGATGATACTCAGCTTTTGTGCATATACATGTTTGTGGGGACATGATTACTAGAGATTGTGATATATGTGTTTTATGTTGTAGTTTTGTTGAAGTTATATTTTGGAATGCAGTTTTATTTCTTTAAGAAATTGTAGGATATTATATGGATGAATGTCATGAAAGTGTTCTTTCATGTTGGTTGTTTAGTTGGTTGGTTGAATTTGTTTAGTGACATATCAACAACTCTATGGGTCATTTAATGCCAAAATCTAAATATTTTGAACACAATTGTATGGCTTCAATGAAATATATTTCAAATGTAATTGTATGCCTTCCACTACAGATAAAAATACAGATAAAATGTATTGGTCATTTTGCTATAAAATGTATCATTGGTAATTCTATAAAATAGTCTTGGTCTTCATTTTACTATAAATAGGTACTGTTGGTCATTTTACAGTATAAAAATCTATTGCTGGTAATTTTACTATAAAAATGTATTTTTGTGCTTTCATAGTGTTTTGCTTTTGCTTGGGGTTTCACTATCTGTACATAGCTGGGACCCTAACAGGTGCTACCACCCCGGATTAAGGTGGGCCTGGGAACAACAGCAATTAAAAGGTGGTTCCATGCTCCTCAAAACCTTGAATCTCCCAATCAAAGGCCTTGCTGCTGGATGCAGTTTATTGTCATACCCAGGACATTCACCAGTAGTGTCTTGTGTATTCATGGTGTACAGTGGAAATTGTATGTTAGTAATGTAGAATGACTAGCAGAATATTGAAGCTATGGTGAAGCTAATAGGATGTTTAAGCCACTTAGACAAACCAGAATTTGTTGAGATTTGGATTCAGTATTTTGCAGCCCAGGCAAGGACTAAAAAATTGAAAGACAGCAAGGCAATAAATAATTGACCTCTTTCTAGCTTTGGCAGGTTGTGAAGCTATAATGAAAAGTTTTGTTATAGTATATCCCAGAGAATTGGATGATTTGGCATTTGTCAAAATTTTGGAAATTATAAAAAGAAATTTATGAGCTAAAAAGAAACTTGTCATAGTGGAAAGAACCAAATTTCTGTCCATTAAACAGAAACAAGATGAATCAATTATACAATATCTTCACAGATTAGGAGAAGCAAGCAGATTTTGTAAATTTAAGAAATTAGGAACTCAAGATTTGACTATAGAGGATGAATTGACTCAATTACAGTTGATTGAAGAAGGTATGGCTAATATATCTCATAAATATTGAACAATTAAAATTGAATAACTTGTATCTAACTGAATGTGTAGAAGTTATACAACAACTGAAATTGATTAAAAAGTCTGATTCTACTGAAGTCACTTTTGGAACATACAGTATAAAAAAGGAAGTTGAATACTGATCACGTATCATAAAACAGCACTATACAACAGAAGCTATTATCGTTCAAAATCAACTGAGGTGGACTGGCCATTTAGTGAGAATAGAATATGATAGAATCCTTAAGCAGTTTCACTATATGGTGAGCTTATTGAAAGAAAGAGGCCTACCAAAGTGAAAATGATTCAATATAAAGTGAAATACTTGCCAAACCAGTGGGAAAATGTAGAACATAATAAAATCTTTAATGACTGATTAAACAACAAAACAATTCAAAAATATAGTTTTTACTCGTGTGAAGCTATCACAAATTTTATTTCTTTGACTTTATGTTTCTTTCCATTTTATCTTTTTATTTAGTATAATTTACTCATCATACAAAGGCTGAAGTCAATTAAAACAGATACAAGACATTCCTGTTCTTGTAGTGAATGGGGCATTATAAATTATTATAATGCCAAAAAAAAAAAAAAAGGAAAATGAGAAGACACTAAAACATCTTCACTTTATGATTACATCTTATTAAAAAAGAAGATAATTATGAATGAAATTGGCATAAAAACTAGATACCTTATTTCCTGACCTATGAGGAAAATATTTTTGGTACCTTAGTGTGTTGTAAATGGTTAGCCAGCTACTTTTGTGAATTTGGTCCTCATTGGGTACCTTGGTCTTGTGCTATAGTAAGCTAAGTCTAGTAAATTAAAAAAAATATTTTTCTTTAAATTGTACAAACATTTGCATACATGCAATTTAAGATATCTGTAGTGACGAAATGGACTTGCCCTATTTTGTATATAGTCGAGTGGCTACTAATAAGTCAGTCATCACATGGCACAGAGGAGGAACTTCTATGTCACAGACTAGGAGACATTACAATAATATGGCGTTGCTGATAGGATCTCTAACATTGTTAGATGAGCTGGACTTTGTGGAAACATTGGTTTGTTGTTTTGTTCCCCAAGTATAAGGCAAAAAGTAAAATGACCACAAAGGAGGGGAGAGCGAGATTACAGGTCTCTTTTTGGCTTTGGCAGAATGTAAGGCCATCAGAAAGATCTGTCATGGCGTATCTCAGAGAATTGGAGAATTTGACATTTTCACAAATTTTGTACATTAGAAAGAATTTGTATCCAAAAAAAAGTAGTTGGTTATTGTTGAGAGGACAAAGTTCATTGTGAGCAAACAAGAGCTGAACGAGACAATAGTACAGTGTGTACATAATCTACAAGAGGTTTCCAGATTCTGTGAGTTGGAAAAACTTGGTAATGGAGAAATAACTATCAAAGATGAGTTGATACAGTTGAGATTAATTGAAGGTATGTGTGGTGCTTTGTACAAACAAAATGAACTTGCCTTATTTTGCATAGAATCAAGCAACTACTAATAAATCAGTCATCACATGGCATGGGGAGGAACTTCTATGTCATAGACTAAAAGACATTACAAAAATATCAATCATGTTTTCATTTTTTATAAGGAACTTTGTATTTAAACCATTAACATTTATTTTAGAATTTACATATTTTCATTATAATTGATTCCATTTTTATATAAGTGGTTTCTTATCTTAAATAGTATTCAGTTTGAATCTAGTTTTCATTTTTATCATTATTGTAACATTATATGTTACTTTGTATTTAAATTCACTAAAGTTTCAAGTCAAGAGAAACATCTACTCACTGCAATTTTGTGGGGCATCATCTGCACAAAATCTCAACAATTGACTATTGATCAATAACTATGGTAAAAATTATATTAATAATGAAAGTAATGGTCATGACAGAGTGTTAACGATAAATTTGATTTTGCTGATATGAAAGATGAGAATAGTTGACTGGAAGAGTAATTGTTTAAAAGTGACAGTGAAAATGTGTTTGTAACAAATCAGAAAAAAAGAAATCAGTTTCTTAATCAAACAAGAATATGGTATATATTGTCTAGATATTTTTTTAAAATTCTTACTTTATTGGTAGTGAAAGCATCCCACACCAACATTTTCCCATCCTGAAAAAGAAAAAAATGTTGTTCTGAAATATTTTCAATTGTTTTAAACATGAGGAAATAAAGCAAAACTGAATCACAAAAAATAATTAATGCATACATAAATGCTATAAAAAAAAATTGACCAAAAATATGAAAAATAGACATACAATAAAAATATTTTAAAATATTTTGCAAAAGAAATATGATAAATAGAAATACTTAGTTGAATAAAATTAAAACTAAAAAAATAAAATCTTCCAAAATATTTAGTAATGTTTTTTTAATAATGAGTAAATGAAAAAGTATAATTAAAAATTTGCCAAAAATTGAATTTCAGAAGATTTCCTAATTGAATTCATAAACTACTAGAAAGATAAGAAGATTGTATAGTTTCAATCTCTTAAGTAGTAGCAGGTGGAAAACTAGTATTTGAAATTCAGTCTTTATTTAAACACTGACTATATCTGACATATAAAAAACAAAACTGAGACATTATAGATAGATAAGTAGATAGATAGACAGACAGAAATGAAAACAGACAAATAGATATGGACATCTTAGTCCATATCTATTTGTCTATTTTCATATATATATATATAAATAAAAAAATAGGTAAATTTAGCAAGTAAATAAATATAGATAGTTAAATTGATAACTAGATATAGATATATTTAAAAAGATCTCTTTATTCTACAAATTATTTTGACTAGTATTCTCATCTTTGTTTTTTCATCTTTACATTTCAGCTAATGCAATTCAGCTCTTCAGATTTTTCATTTTCTTCTAGATAGTTTAAATCTATCCATTAAAGATTTGTGCAGAAAATGGTAGTCCAGTTGTGAGTTTGAATAAAATTCAACCACACAAAATCAATCAACACAAATGATGATTCAAACTGTTGAACCCATTCTTTGTATTGCTTTTGTATTTACTGTATCAGTAATCCATTCAGCAATGTATTCTTTAGCTTTCTTCAATTGCGCAATCTGTGAAGAAAGAGAAGCTTCTTCTTTTGTGAGAAATACATTTCTCTTTCTTTTTTGACTATAGAAACATGAAAAATGGATTGGATTAAAATCATCATTATTCTGAGGCTTTTGTAGTTACTACATGCTGATCTTACCAGAATTTTAATTCTATTGTCTTTAAGCCCATTGTGATTGTTTTGCTTTTTAATGTGCAGCAGTACTTATCTAGCATTGTATACTGGCTACAGCCATTTCTTAGGTGCATCTATATATGTTGCTTAAGACATAGGTAGCACCAATGATAGTCATTATCTGTTATTTGTACCTCTTTCCTAACAATGTGATTAGGTTTATGGGTTTTTGATGTTTAAATGTTAACAGTTGATTGCTTTCTCCCTTATTTTCACCCTATCCCCAAATGCATAATATATTGTGCACACAGTTTTGTGTTATGATAAAAATGTATCCTTTTTTTACAAGTTATTTGACTGTACATCTTTGTTACTTTTATCATTACATTTCATTTGATACATTCTTTGTCTTTCTCCTAATGTATAATTTATCTGGTAAGTTCTAGATCCAGGTATATTCTAGATGGCATGAAATCTATAGATCAAACATCTGTACAGACAGAATTAATCTTTGATCAAGTCTTCAAAAAAGAAATTACATGTACCGAGTGGATTAAATCATATATCAATTTTTCAAAAACTTGATAACATACTGCCAATAAGACTTTTCAATTATGAAAGTTTCTTATGGTTGCTTTTGGTCTATTGAGTATAGTATTAAATTTTATACTAGGTTTGCTTAAGGATGGCCAGGGAACATATTGGTCAAAATGTAAATAAAAATAGCAAACATAAGGATATTAATGTAAATAGCTCCTGGAATAAGGATAATGACTCATTTTGGGATTTTAAATATTAAAGAATGTATCAGCCTGTTATCAAGTTTATACATATATCCTTCTTCATTCTATGCAACCTTCAATGAAGTGACATAAAAGATTTATTGGCAACAATAGGATATGTCATTTATAAAATATCTGTTGGCAGCTACATAACTATTATGAAGTATGTGTCATTTATAAAAGATAGCAGCTACATACCTGGGATGAACTAACTATGTGTCGTTTATCTGTGGACCAGTCCATGCATAGTACTTTGCCCTGATGTCCTTTGAGTTGTCGTCGGTGTTTAATGTTGAATGATGGCAAATTTTCCAGTTTTTGGGCAACTACAGTCACTGAAAGAAGAAAAGAAAATGTGATTCAAAAGAACATCTAACCAGAGATGAGGGTTTAACTTTAAAAAGAAACATGTGTCCAAAATGCATTTTTAGTTCTTAAATACAATCTTTACAAAAACTGAATAAGCAGTTGTAACATTAAGATGATCAATGAATCTTTAAGTGTTGTACCTTATTGAAATATATTAAATACTAGCAGTAGAGCCTGGCATTGCCCGGGGATGTAACAGTAAGAGATAGATCAAGTATCGACTGAAAAATAAAATTGACAAAGATTATTGTTTAAGGTTGACGGACACGCATGTCTTAATTAGTTTTTTTTTTTTTTTTTTCCTAGTTGGTCAAACCCAAACTCAAATAAAAACATTGTTTACAATCGTTATGAGTCTATCGATTAATGAATAGAATTTTATTATAAACAATTGTCTTGTAAATGGAATTTTTAAAGCATTCTGAATGTAAAAATAAAGAAAAAAGTGTGCAAGACAATAAGAAACACTACCTGCCAAAAAAAAAAGTGAATGTTTGTTTTATCGGCTGAAAAATGTAAGAAATCCGATCCCATATATAAAGAAACACACACACAAACAATGTGGGTTTTTAAACGATGTGAGTTGTCCCCCTTTCATTCTCACGATGTGTCTTAATCGTGTTTTCAAATTGATTTTGTTAAAAACAATTGTGTTTTTCCCATTTTCGGCGCTGTTAGAACCACCACAAGGTAATTTTATGTAGTCCTGTGAAGTTTTGTTGAAATCGGCTAAAAAATGTAGGAAATCCGATCCAATATATAAACGTTACAGACACACACACACACACTGCGTTTTATAATAAGTAAGATTTAAATATAATAGGTAATATAATTATATATATAATAACCTCATTCAGTTATCTCTATTTTCAATTTATATTTTTATAGTTAAATTATTTACAAGGCTTTTTTATAGTAAAATCATAAGCAATGCATTTAAGTGCATTAGGTTAAGTCATTAATACTCTCTGTTTTTGTTTATCAACTTTATTCTTCAAAAAATAATGTACACTTATATTTTATTCCATTATAATATATTCACCATTATTTGCAATGACTTCTTGCCACTTATCAGGTAAGCTCTTCATTACCTTTTGAGTAAAATTGCATGGGTTTTGATTTGAAAAGCTTTTCAATGATCTCTTGTTTCTGATTTTCCTTAGAGAGAGTTTTCTTCATCAAAACATTTTGCCATGATCAAAAAGGTAATAATCAGTTGGTGTAAGATCAAGTGAATATGGCAAGTGGTGTAGAAAAGATCAACTGAATTCCAACATATTTTCTTATTGTTATTCTTGTTGTGTTGTCACGGAGGAGAATAACATTTTTCTTTAAATCACTGTGTATACTGCTATTGCCATTCAAAACACTAAGGTATGTTAATTTCCTCCAAATTTATACTTAACTGTCATGTAAGATTAGTAGTTAGGATGATGCGTTCATCTTTACAACTGATTTCCCCAAACAGAAATTACTTATGATTCAACCTAATACAAATGACAACACTAATTATGCTTGCATTTATTCCTGACCAATGACAATCCCTTTTTCCTGATTTTCAATACTGTTCTATAATAAAATCATTATATATATATATAATTAAAGGAATTGAAACTTTTCTCATGTAATCATAATTGAAGTGAGCTAGCTATGTCATCACAATGAGTGACAACAGAATACTGACGGCCCTCATGCATAGCCAGCTTTACCTTGGAAAAAGAAATATAGGTTGGCCATTGCACAGGTTTAAACTAAAAACAAATTGAAGAGCAACCTTGTGTCAGCCAACATCTCATATAAGAGCTTTGAGCAGGTGGCCTGACACTATAAGGAGTGAAGAGCTACTTGATTCAATGGCATCAATGACTTTGAAACTGGCCACCATCAACATGTGAGGGAAGCAAGTTCAAGTTCAAAAGCATCATCCTCATTATCATCCAACTTGTCTTGAAATCCTCACTCTTGTATCATTTGTAGCCTTGGCTCCATATCACTGCCAGAGCTGAAATGTCATGTCGGACATAAACACTTGAACTAATTTAATTGTTGGACACTAATATGTTGAAATCAGCTGGAGAGTCCATCATATAATAGCTGTACTTTGTCAGTAATGCATGTCTTCATTCCAGACTAGAGATACTCACTTTCTTCTTAACTTTCAATGCACAGCATACAAAATGAGAGTTGAAATTTGGTAAAATAAACTTTAGGTAAAAACTAAAATTTTTAAGTGCCATATTTTTTATGACTGCCAAGAATAAATAGTAGGTTAATAGAGAAAATAATAAAGCTAAATGGGAGGAGTGGGGAAATAGACTGACCAAAATTTAGAGATATCTCTCCATGACTTTGTAATTTATTTTTTAATTTTAAGCTTACAATTGGCAAATTGATGCAAATTTACTGAAGAAATACAATAAATATGAATACTGAATATCTAAATGAATTCAAGAAACATTAAACTGATATTATTGATTAAAATGTATATTGTCGTTTCTTTAAATAATAATCCAAATGAAAGGAAAGCATATTCACCTGCTCAAAAAAGGAAACAAAACAACTATATCCTCTCTAAAAGTGTGAAGATGTTCCCTTTTCTAAAAAGATATCTGCACACAGGTGGAGACACCCACATAAATATGTGTGTGTTGTATAACACTCAACAAATGAAATACAAATAAATGTAAAAGGGTGTATGCATTCTGCACACCACCATGTATGTACATGTATAAGTGTCTACATTAAAAAAAAAGTAGGTGTGAAAAAAGATGTCACATCCTTACAAAATTTATCTTCACATGCAAAGTTCTAAAATCTTGTGAAAGCTAAATACATATAGGCTCCAAACCAAGTTTCAGCAACTGATATATTTTGATTGGTCCAATAATGCCAAGGTCATGTTTCCACCTATGCACAAGTGTTCAAACCAGAGAACATGTTCTGAAGCCTACCATGTGATTAACAAGTAAATAAATATGATACACTAGCACATCTTCCTGTGAGCATCATGACAGCAATGTAATCGGCTACTAAAAACTACGTCACACATTCTAAGGCTAAAAGTTACCCATTTTAACATAATCTCAACCTTCCAGAACATTCACTCATTCAAGTTTTTCACATAGCAGCTCATAATCATTTCTGCTAGTGAATAAATATTGCAACTTCATTCAAACGAAGCAAAGAAATTTACGATAATGAAATCATTTTCCAAACTTTTCCAAACATTTACTCACTCAAGTCGTTCACACAACAGCTTTTGTTCATTTCCCCAAGTGAATTAACATCTATTACTCAACTTCACCAGTGAGAATCAAGTTGCCAAAGATTAAAGTTACTTTGATAACATAAAAACAAACTTTCAGAATTCACTCACTCACATCACACTGGATTTCATTTACACACAGAAGAAGTTTTCAACCACAGAACATTATTATTACATAACAAACATAACAAAAGTTCTTCTTACAGAACATTATTTCATCCAGAATTTATTTACTTCTTGACAACATTACGGTCAAAGAAAGACAACTCTTTTCCCAATTTACACTGGAAATTTATATTTCCCAAACACTGTAATTATAAACAGAATTATTCTTTCAATGACTCTGTGAAACTTACATCACTACAATTACAACAAATGTTTCTTCAAGTAAACTCATACGCCATAAGTGTTTACAAACATAATAAAAATAACAAAAATCATTAAGATTTCACTCACAAGTCTTTACTCATTTCAACATAAATGTATTATTGTATCTTTTAAATCAAAGTATTGTTTGTTATTCAAAAACTGTTTTTTTACTCTCTTGTTGTTAATTGTTTCTTGACACATTTGTTGAAAGTAAAAATAGTAGGGATTGAAATTGAATTGAGGCCATTCGATACTGTCATGATTAGTACAGAGCATAAATTTGTGAGCGTGTGTTATTGTCTCAGTTTGACATTGAAGTATATATAATTGGATATTGTACATATATAAGTGTATATACTGGATATTATTATTATAGTCGTGGAACAGTGACCTAGTGGATGTAAGAATTGGTGTAAATGCAGTTAGTTTACCGAGTAGTCGTGAGTTAAGCAACATCTTAGAACTTTACTAAGAGTTATTTCCCTTAGCACCGGCAGACAAATAAGAAAAATTCTTCCTGCCCATAGAAAGAAAAGTTCGGTTAGAAATTCCTAGACGTTTTTGAATACTACAGGCACCTGAAAAAGATCTTTACTTTTTAATTATAGATCACAAAATAATAACAAATTGTTTTCGTCAGTAAAGAAATACTATTTTCGGAGTTCAAACTAAAAAGTTATCCAGTTAAAAAAAACTAACGACATTATCAGCCAAGAAATCATAAACAAAATTAAAAACAAGAATGTGTTAGTTATGATGAACTCTCTAGTTTAGTAGCTTTTAGTTACTTATCATCATAAAAACCTTGACACTTGATAGACTTGCATTTAACGACTACAATTATTTTTTCAAATACCTTCTTTTTCGGTATGGTTTCAAAATGAAAAGAAATACTGCTATTATTACTGTCTGCATTTACATTATCCCTCGGCAATGTTTATTACAAGATTATAAAAATATTTGAACTGCAAATATTGCATTGCGATATTCATTATTTATCTTTTATAAAAATTTATTAGTAGCCAATTTTTAAAGAAATAAATTTGAAAAGAAAACTTTTTATTAAAAATTTTATAAAAAATTATCAAAAAAATTGTAAACCAACCATGGCCATATGGATTATTTACCATAACTGAAAAAAACTGTTTTAGTTTTCAGTGAATATATGTGGCGAGAGCGAATGAGTGAAATGCAATTTTTCAAAATTTATAATTACATTGTAGTAACTGTTAAAAATGTATTAATTAAAATTTTTTTGTTCATAGACATTTTTACAAAATAAAATATTTTTATAATTATTTTTCATTATAGTTGGTTCAATAGTTTTATCTT